CCCCTAGCTAATTCTTTTTAGCATTGTGTCATTGCCATATTCAATAAGAAGTTCATCATTGCCTTTACCCAAGTCATGGTTAAAAAAAAGGACTGAACAGCAAAATTCTAGGGATAGATTCCTGGGGATCTTCCACATGACCATTCAGTGCAATGAGCCATTAATATTATTATCTCTTCTACTAACTCCACACGATACCATACCTTTGTCCCTTCAGTTAGGTCCCAGTTTATCTAACTGTACAAATCTTTTATTCTTGTCTGAAAGAATAGCATGAAGAAATTAGGAAGAAACTTTCTAGGACACAACTGAGGTCAAATGTATTGCTAAAACTCAGGTAAATTATAGCATTCTCTTGTTTTACTTGACTAGCAATTTTATAAAAAATGAAATGAAGTTAAATTTGTCACTGTTCTTGAAGTCATATTGGCTCTTTGTATTTATTGCTTCCTTTTTAAAATGTTTGTTAACTGTTTCTTTGACTATATATCATAACATTTCTTTCTAGGAATTAGTCATGTTCACAGGCCTTTTTTAAGGCTTCTTTTTTTCTCATTTAAAAAACAAAACCCAAAAAACCCAGAGATATTGTTTTTTATCTAACCCTGTGGTATCTACCTGTTTTATTCTTCATATTCTTTAAAGATCACTGGTGGTACTTCAGCAGTTCTGCCTTCTAATTCTTTTAGTATCTTGGGATGTTTGGTGATTTAAGCTTTCCCAAGTACTCTTATCTTCCTACTTATCTTGAGTTTCACTGCCATGTGAGGCATTTGCTTGGTCTACTCTGATACAAGAGTTATTCTCTACCAAAAAAACCAAACAAAACAACAAAAGCAAAATAAGATTTGGGTAGTTTTGTATTCTCTCTTAGATCTGTTATCATCCCATCTACCTCCAATTTAAGACCTTATCTATTTTTCTAGTCCTTTTCTTTTTCCCACAAAAGAGGCACCTTGATAGAAGTGGATTATTAGCACTAGCTTTGTAACTCTGGTTGAGTCACTTAACTCCTCAGTGCCTCAAGCATCTTCACCAGGTTATTGATGAGTTGCTGATCTGCATCAGTGGAAGGAGTTTCCACACTGGGAGTTCCCTAGACTGCTTCAGTAACAAGTCTGGAGGAAGTTCTGTCTGGTTGTCTCTATCGTGACTTTCCACCCTTAACTCATTCTTAATTTTAGCTGTCTACACTATGCCATACCTTTGTAATCTTTCTGCATTGCCTTCCCCTGATTCCTTCTTTTATGTGTATCTTTTAAAAGTCTAAATTGGCCAGTCAATAGCTTATGTATTCATATAGGTCTCTTGACGTTCAAGCTTCCTCTTGGAGTATTTTTTTGAACTGTTTCTTTGTGTCTTCAGAATTTCATTACTGAGCTCTTCTTGTCCCTTCTGTGTTCATGTCTTCTGAAGCCTTTGGAATCTCTTCTCCCAATGTCTAGGATACACCTAACTTAGCATTCCTGCTTATCTCATTGCAAATTCTAAGAATCTTCTCTTCCTCCCAAGGTTCATCTGTATTGGTGAGGATCAATTCTAGAATATAACTTCCCTTCCGTACTTCCTTTAGTTTTTGAAGGATGAAAATTTAATTAAGGCAAGCCAAGATAATATTAGCTGCTCACCTTTTGGTAGATAAGAAGAGAACTCCAGAAGATGTCTGGATAATTGATGCCCTCTATCATTGCTTCTCCTATTGCGGTTAACAATAAGACCTACTTCTTAGGATCAAATGGGATATTGTGTGCTTTGCAAACATTTAAGGGCTCCATAATATTTAGTAGTTTTTATTATTACTGTCATTTTTATATTCCACTATATCATGACCCTGTGTCAGGCTTGTGACATGTTTCTTAAACTCATCTATTTCCTCATTCTTTTCAGGTGCTCTTATAGTATCCTTTGATGGCAACATAGTTTATATGTCTGCCTCAGTTAATCTTTACACACAAGCTATCCATCACCCTTGCCACCTTCTCAGCTCTCACCGAAATGTCCCCTTCTTGCCAATATACCTCTCCTTCCCTTTTGCATTTTCCAAGAGAAAACCAATCTCTCATACAGATACCTGCTGGAAGGAGCCCAGAGTGTCAGCCCTATTCCAACCCTCAGGTCTGCAACCTCTCCCCTCGCTTGGATGGGGCAGATATGGCTGCTTACATTGTTTCAATGAACAGGGAATTAACCAACTAAATCCTTCAAGCAATGTGGAGGACCACCAGGCTACCACTGCTCTTTTTAAGGACCACCAGACTGTACCATCTTCCTTGCCCTTTCCAGACTCCTGAAAATTACCCATCTGCCCTCCTGTTGTGTCCTCCAAACAGCTTCCTCCAGATTACTGGTTCTTTACCCTGCAACTGGATGCTAAGGACCATGGGTTTGCTCTGGGTCTGAACCCTATTGAACTTTCCTGTGGATCAGTAGATAAACCTTCCTATATTGTGTTGTCACCCTAAATAGATTGTGAACTTCTTGAAAGAGCAGGGATTATCTCAGTTGTCTGTTTATATCCCCAGACCTTTAGTGCCATGCTTGGTACATGCTTGACACATTTTGGCTATTTAATAAATGCTTTTTCACTCACTCATACCTCTCTCTTTTCTCCTCCCTCCCCCATATCTTCCTCTGTCCCTGTTCCTAGAATTCCTTACTTGAATGGAAGTAGATTAAAATTGCTTTAAAATGTACAGTGCTATTCTGCCTTACCCCACCTTTATGTATTTTGTTATTTTTAAATAAGGTATATCCTTTCAGAGCCATGTTCAAGTATACCTGGAAGGTCAATTTTTTTTCCTTGCATTAGTATTTCTAATTCATCCATCTTATTTGCTTACAAACATGGAAGATGGTGAGCTTCATTTCTGACTTCTTTCTTGAATGTTGAATCTTTGGAATTTCTAGCATGCTTTGTATTTTCTTCTTTCTGTTATTTCATATTGTATCTACCTTGAAACATACATGTGAACAGTCTTCTCCCTTTCTATTTGACAAAACTTTAGGTAAATACATTTTCATAGAATTAAGAACTAGAAGGTGCTAGTTCTCTCACTGCTCCCTCCTGAACCTTCTTAAGCACCCTTTCCTTCCCTGGTTGCACTTTTATTCATTCTCCGATTCATTGATTGGGGTGAGGGAGTTGGAATAATTTTGCTCCCCATAGCCACTTCTAAGGTCACCACTAGCACCCTTCCTCAGTAATCTTTCCTCCTTTGAGGTTCACTAAATCTGTATCTATTGTTCAATCAAGATTCTGGCAGTTATTGTTTACCCTCCTCCAGCACATTCTCCTTCCTTCAGTGAGTCCAGTGCTGGGCTTAAGTCCTTCACACCTGCTGTTACACTAGGGGGCTTAAATACTCATATTGGTATCCTCTCAAACACCCTTATTTCTTCTTTTTTATTATTATTTCTTTTTTTTGCCTTTTGGTGAGGCAATCAGGGTTAAGTGTCTTACCTAGGGTCACATAGCTAGTAAGTGTTAATGGTTTGAGGCCAGATTTGAACTCCTCCTGACTTCAAGGCCATAGCTCTATCCACTGTACCACCTAGCTGCCCTAATAAATGTTCCTCACCTTACTCATTTCACATGACTCTACCTTTCTACCCCACCTTAGCCATACACAAAGACTTGCCCTTCATCTTGCCATCACCCACAAATGCAACACTTCCATGTTCACATTAACTCTGGAATTCTGTTATCTGATCACAGTCTATTGTTTGACCTCCATGCTGGGCCTTCTTCTCTTTTCATCAGCTCTCATCAGTTATCATCTCTATGTGGATGATTCTTAGATCTGTTTGTCCAGCCTGAACTTCTCTTCTGACCTCCATTCTGACATCTTCAAATGCCTTTTGGATGTCTCAAACTAGATCATTTGCAGACATCTTGTGCTTAACCAATCCAAAATAGAGTTCATTATCTTTTCCCTCAAACCTTCTTTTCCTCTAAACTTCCCTGTTCTTGGCCAAGGGTACTGCCATTCTCTCAGGCTCACAACCTGGTTACCATTTGTGACTCCTCACCTTCTCTCACCCCCTGTATCTGGTTTGTGGCCAAGTCTTGTTGATTTTACCTTTCAAACATTTTTCATATAAGCTTCCTTCTCTCCTCTTGATATTCCCATCCCCGTAATACAGGCCCTAACTACCTCATGCCTGGACTATTACACTAGCCTGCTGTTAGTCTCCCAGACATAAGCCTTTCGCTATTGTAGCTCCTCTATTCAGCTGCCAAACTGGTCTTCCTAAAGCTTAGGTCTGACTCCTCCCTTCAATAAATTCCAGTGGGCCCCTATCACCTCCGGAATCAAATACGAAATCCTCTGTTTCAAACCCCTTCGTAGTCTGACCTTTCCCCTTTCCAGTCTTCTTATACTTTACATTCCTCCCTACTCTTTCCCTCTCCGCCCCCAACACTTACTCTTAGATCCAGTGATTCCTACCTCCTTTTTGTTCCTCAAACAAGACATTCCATGTCTCAACCTGGGGGCATTTTCCCTGCCTGTCCCCATGCCTGGAATACAATTGTTCACATGCCTGGAATGTTCTCTCTCCTCATTTCCACCTCCTGGCTTCCTTAAAGTCTCAGCTTCATCTCACCTTCTATAGGAAACCTTTTCTGATCTCCCTTAATTCTAGTGCCTTCCCTTTGTTGATTTTTTCCATTTTATCCTGTGTGTAGTGTATCTGTAGCTGTTTGGATGTTGACTCTCCCATTAGATGGTGAGCTCTTTGGGAGCAGGGACTGTCTTGCTTTTCTTTGTACACTCCATCCCCTGTGCTTAGTACAGTTCTGCCTGGCACACAGTAGGCACTCAGTAAGGGTTTATTGACTGATTTACTAGAAGGGAGTGTTGTTAGAATAGTGTGTAGGCTGATAACATTAGAACTAAATTGATCTTTGCTTTTAAAGTGTTCTTTTAACTTTTATTTAGCAAAATTAGAATTAATCATTGTTAATTCTTTTCTAAAAGGATTATTCTTTTCTGTTTTAGCTTGGTGATCCTGCCATTTTCCCAGCTGTTATTGTGGAACATGTTCCTGGTGCAGATATCCTCAATGGGTATGCTGGTCTAGCCTGTGTGGATGAGCCTAGTGATATGATTACTGAGAGTTCACTGGATGTTGCTGAGGAAGAAATTATTGATGATGATGATATCACTCTTACCGGTGAGTGACTGTAATGTCTGCAACCTTGTGGTTTTGGAAGGGTGGGTTCCATGATTGTGATTTGTGATCAGAATAGCTTGGAGACCGCTAGGGTAGATGTATAATTCCAACATAAGGCTTAAGTTAAAGAAGAGTAAAATATATTCCTTTATGGAAATAAGACATATGAGAAATAAGCATCCTATAAAATTTTATAGGGTAAGAATGATCTGAAGCCAGTTTTACCTAACTTCTTTATCTGTCTTGTAGTTGAAGCCTCCTGCCATAATGGAGATGAAACTATTGAAACGATTGAAGCTGCTGAGGCCCTCCTCAATATGGACTCCCCAGGCCCAATGCTGGATGAAAAAAGAATGTGTAAGTTTTTCAAATAATTCATATAAGAGTTTGTGTATTCTTAGTAAAAAGTATTTGTCTGTAGCAGAATTTTAAGTTACTTGAGTGAATTAACTGTATCCTTCTCATCTAGCATGATGTCTTCCCTACACATATCATGTGCTAGATAAATATCTGTTTTATTTCTAAATAAAAGCAGAAATATTCACTCTTTTTTTTTTGTTAATTGCTTATTCCTGCTTCTCTTTCTCCTCTAAATATCCTGTCTTTGGTGACACTTCCTAGAACAATACAGTGTTAATTGTGGTACCCCTCTTAACATATATTAAATTTATCTAGGACAGTGTTTTGCATGTATAGTGTTTGTTTTTTGTTGAGAAAGGTTTATCGTAATTTTTGAAATGAAGTCTCCAATATAAAAATGATACAAAATTCTTATTTTAGCTGAATTTTTTAAAATACAGGTTTATATGGACATAATTCTTGAAGGTTTGGTAGTAATTTTTATAAACAGCTAACACTATATAGGTAATATTCCATATATGAGAATATATCCAAATTCTGCTTATAACATTCTGTTTTAACTTTATTGCATCATTTTTGCCATGCTTTATTATGTACTTAAGGCATTCCTGCAAGGATGTTAGTGAAGTTTGGAAAGTTAAGTTGGTAATTAGTTTTTTTTTCCCCACTCCAGTTAGTTTTTCCTATGGAAATAAAAATTATTGGCCTTTCTTTCTTTTCTTTTCTTTTTTTTTTTTTTTGGCAATTGGGGTTAAGTGACTTGCCCCCAGGGTCACTCACCTAGTAAGTGTTGTTTGGTCTGAGACCGCATTTGAACTCAGGTCCTCTTGACTTCTGGGTCAGTGCTCTATCCACTGTTACCTAGCTGCCTCTGGCCTTTATTTTCATTAGAGGTAATTATAACTTTGTTTCCCTTAGCTAATATATTTGCTTCATCTGAGGATGAGATTGTCGTTGCACCCATTACCCATGTCTCTGTCACCTTGGATGGGATTCCTGAAGTGATGGAAGCACATCAGATTCCAGATACCTATGTGGAATCCCCAGAAGCTACAATACCAGAACAACCTAAGAGAAAGAAAGGTGAGGTTCAATCATTTTGACAGCTTGTTTTTGTTGTGGCGTTATATACTTCATTACTTCACTTTAAATTCTTCCTTACATTAGCTCAGAAGTCAGGTTCCAGAAACTAAAAGAAATGTGAATTTTTTTTTCCTTTTATTCATTAGTCTTGTGCTGGTACCAACATGTTAGGGTAACTCAATCCCTGTTTGAGTTAGTAATCCAGCAATATCACTTCTTGGCTTTGGAGTCTTCTCTTAGAGAAGCTGTGGACAGTTAGTCATTGTCTTTGGCTTTCTTTGTTGGAAATGGCCTTATATAAGTTTTTGATTCCAATGATTTTCATTCTTAATTTCTTGAGCTTTTCTCTTTGGAGAACAATTATCAGACTTGGTAATGCATTTTAATGTAAAATATTTTTAAGGTTTCTTTTATTCTTAAGAGTATCTAATTGTTGAATTGAGCCTTATAATCACATCATTTCAAGCTTTGTGCTGATGGTGCATCTTAATTTTAAAGACAAATTACAACAAAATGCTTCTCAGTAATTGAAAAAAAATTAGATCAAAGTTTTAATGGAAGAATTATAACTAATCTGTTGTTTACCATATGGAAAATTAGAGAATTTTTACACTCAGTGGACCTGCTGCAGCCGTTGCCTTTTGCTAGTTGAGGCATGCTGTTAAATAAGATTTTGAATGTCAACAGCAACTTTTTTTCAGAGCACACCACAGGTTAAAGTTATACCAAGCTACTGAGTAGGCTTTTCCCATAATTTATTAAGTCACACTAAAATCTTATGGAGGTAGAGATGACTACCTTCATTAAAAAAAGTTGTACCCGACCAATTGAATGTCAAACTTAATCAAATCTTTTAAAAGAAGAAGAAAAGTATGTTAGTTTTGGGTGGAATTATGAACCAAAACACAGGAACCATAAGCATACTGGTATAAACATAAACCTACTTAATCTACATAAAGAGAAACTGAAAGATATATGGTGCATTTTTTTTAAAGCATATCTTATAAGAGACATCTCCTTTTTGTAATACATAAGGCAGCATTACAAGGCTTGTTCATTGTTAGCCTTTTCTGTGATAATGCTATCAAGTTTGCCTTTCTTAATGCTAGCAAAGATTATTTTTAAATAGTTCCTGTGGTTTTCATACTATTCCATTATTACATCCTCTCCCTTAGATGATGCCTTTTATTTTATTGGCATCCATGTAAGAGAATCCTAGAGGTTGACCAGTGTTTCATCAAAATATTCCACTCAGATTAGGTCCATTCTGCCGCTTGTCTCCTTTTTCAACTTTGTTGCACCCATACTTCTGAGCAAAATGTTTTCTTGCTCAGTAACATGCTCCCCCCACCCCTGTCTTTCTTCTTTATCTCTCTAGTGTTGGCTGTTTTAAAATCTCCTAAAACTGAGATATAACAGATTTTCATTTGTTCTGTAAGCCAACTTAAAAAAAAAAGCAGTGGTTGGAGGGATACCTGCTAAATTCCCTTATATATCTGCCTCTCCTCCATGTTTCATAAAAATCAAAGGAAAAATAATATGACTTTAATAAAAGTGAGTTTTGGTGATGGCTGGGAAGGTGGGACCCTTCTCCATAAGGGTTGATGATGGTTGGGCTCAAACACACTGGTAATCTGGGAGGTAATCTGGGCTCTTGGACTCCGATTTCAGAGCTGTCTTAGAGTCCAGGGGGAAAGTGATTGTAGAGTTGATGGCATTGGTTTGATTCTCTTGGCACGTGCAGTACACCTCTTGTTGATCCTTCAAGATGTCTTTGCTGCTTCAGCTAGGTTGGCTTGCCTGTCATACTTCTGGTAATTGGCTTTCAGTTGGGGGTTGTGGGGATCGAGTACCTTTTCTCTACAGTTTACTCCCCCAAATGATGGCTGCAAGGTTGCTATATTGGGAGAAAGACTAGTGGTCTGGGGACACTACTCTTCCTGGGCTCTTGGAGTTCTTTCTAGGGGTATCTGCCCATTGGTGATAATTGTTGGTGGAGTAATAGTGTGCCCCTTCTTCATAAGTCTTGACTCCCTAGATGAAGGCTGGAAGCAGGGACTGGTGGTGATGGTGGGGAAGGGTGTTGTGGGACTGCATTCCCTAGTATTATTGAGTCCTGGGATGCTGCCACCAGGATATGAAGGGAGGTGGAAGCTGAGGTAGTGATGGTAGTATGATCCACTGGGCACATTCTTTTTCCCTTACCTCCCTCTGACAAAGCCCATAGTGTTAGAGGCAAGAGGTGATCCCAAGTCTTCCTGATTCCAAGCCTAGCACTCAATCAACTACATCATGCTTACCAGGAAACAAATATTGGAATTAACTGATTCAAACTATCATAGTGACAATGGAAATGTTGCCTTCTTACTCTCATTAATAACTGCTGTTATCTTTAATATTATCAAATGATTGTCACATCTAATTGTTGATCTCTAGAATGATAGAGGCAACACACTTCCTCCACAACAACTTAGAAAACGTGCCAGACTAAATTCTGATTAGGAAAGCCAAGAAAAAGTCAGGCAATCATTTTTTCCAACTCAGGGCAGCTTAGGAAGATAGAGAGGTCCGCTGGGCTGGGTGTTGGCCAGCAGTGTAGTATGGTAGCAGCAACAATGGTGGCAACAATAGTAAGACAGGAGCAAACATTATAGATAGAGATCGAGATCGAGATCTCAGGGAACCCCTGAACTAGTAAACAAGTACGATCTGCACTCATCACCTACTTTTCGGTCACCGATCCAGCACAGAGAGGGCTGCAGGGTCCTAGCCGAGTACTGAGCACAAAACAAGTTCCAATAATGTAGCTATGTGGCTTTGAATCCAGGAGCAGAGCAGTGACTCAGTTCCAACTTTTGGCCCAGCACCAAGGCTGTACTGGAATAACCAAGGGCAAGAGACCAAAGGGGAGCCAGCAGTTCAGTTGCTCTTAACCTGCAGAACCTCCCACTGGGCTAATAGTGACTGAGTCCAGCAACTTTCTGCTGAAACTCAACCACATAAAGCCAGCAAACCTAGGCCTGGGTCAGGACCTGGGGATCACACCACTTTGGAAGGAACAAAAATTTCTAGGCCTCCAGACTGAGTTGTGAAAGTAGCAGAAACTTAGACTAGACAACCCTCTTCAACCCCTATCTCTGCACCCCTCAGTAGTAAATAGAGCCCATCTAAATACAAAGTCCAAAGTCAAGAAGTGCGCTGTGAGGATGAGCAAACAAACCAAAAAAACTCTGAATATAAAGAGTTACTATGGTGGTAGAGGAAGCTCAAAACACAAACCTAGAAAAAGAGAATGACTCCAGAACATCTATAAATAAAGCCTCAAAGAAAAATGCAGATTTAGTAAAGCCTAATAGGAATTCTAATTCAAGAACTAAAGCAAGAGATTAAAAAAAAGAGAGCCAAAAAATGATTTTAAAAACAAGTAAAAGTGATGAGGGAAAAAAAGAAAGAAAAAAAAGACTAGAGAAAAAGAAAATATTAAATGTCTGATAGAATGATGAAAGTATCAGTCTTTGTATAATCTTTGAAACCACACACACACACACACACACACACACACACACACACACCCACACCATCTAGCTTCTTAAATAACATCTTCAGGATTATTTAAGCTGTTCTCTTTAAATTATGAGGGTACACAGAGATATGTACCTAATATATCTTTTTTGCCTTGTTTACTTAGTGATGTTTAAATGTTTAAGTTAATCCTTAGTTGCATTGCTGTGAAACTTTGCCATATTTCTGTCCAATTTACTGTGCAACCGCTTCACTGGGGCATCTAAGGAAAAGTGAAGAGATAAGAAGGAACTTCTCAGATGGAGTCTGGTAGATGATTTAGGGAGGAAAGGCAATCTCTGTTCTCTATTCCAGGAAGTAGTCAGCCAGATTCCTCACTAGGCAGGAGGCTTATGTCCCAGAACTAGAGAAGTTGGCTCACAAGGTTATCCTAGGTCCCTGGAGGAGCAAAATGAGCTATGGAGTTTTTCTTCCACCTGAGCTCTTGGTAGCTCTCTTGAGGTTCCCTGAAAAAGATGCTCTGATCTCTGGCAGGATGGGAAGAATTCAAGCAGAAGTTGGAGGATCATTTCTCAGGGGTATTGTAGAAGGAACTCGCCCTTCAGGTAGTAGTTGAGCTAGGTGATCTCCCTTCCAATTAGGAATTCTGTAATTTTAGGTAAAATTGTGAAGTGGGTAAAGCATATCTTTGACTCTGACTTAATGATGTGTATTCAAGGAATATCCTCTGAAGGCTAATTAATGTCCCTTGAGTGCTGTCTGGAATTAGGGTAGGTGACATGATGTGGACATTTAGATTTTGCCTCAGGAGTGGCTAGTTGAGGCTTAATATTTATTTAGCAATATAGTTCATTTTCTATTTACTTACTAAAATACTTTATTAAAGTAAATCTGAATATTTAATTTGTTCATTATAATTACTATATAGTGCCGAAGAGAAAATGAATAGCAAGATTTAAAGAAATAAAATATCCAGAGTATACAGTATGTCTGCCATTAGACCCAGCTGTTAACACTTGTAACCAATCTTAGCTTTTCTGCCTATTCTTATGGAACTTCTACTTTCTTTCACCTACAGTGCTGTTAGACTTTAAAAAGGCTGGCCTAGCCCTTATAGTTTTGCCACTTAGACATTAAAAGGCCCTTATGCATTTCCTTTTTCTGCCTGAATTGAATCCTTTGCTCACACATCCTGACCATGCTCAGCTTTTACTAATGAGTTTCTCTGTTATTCTCTGTTGTATTCTTGCCAGATCATAAAGGCATTGAAAAATGAGGAGATGTTTGGTTATGTTCCATTGCATATAGACTTCATTACTTTTTTGTCTTCTAGTCAGCACAGAATTTGCCTGGCCCCTCTCCTCTCCTGGGCATCCTTACTCCTGGAGGCCTTCTCTTGGAAGGTTAGACCTGGTAAATGAGCAGCTTGCCCTGGACACTTTGAGTTCTCTGAGTCCTTTGTTGTTACACTTGATATTCTGTTGAAACACCTTTTGTCTTTAAAGAGAGTCAGTCGATTTTTCATAATTTCCTTGCACTGTTTGAGTATAGCATCATTGAAAGCCCCAGTGAAACAGTGGGTTCTTCACAGTCCTCTCACTGCCCTTTTATGAATCTTTTCCTACCCTCTGGTGCTCCTCAGTCTTCCCTAGTACTCCATGCCCTAAAATTACTGCTCCCTCCTGGAATTCCTATTTCTTTTTTGGGGGAAGTTCTCAGCTAGGTATTATAATTTGATTAACTCAATTAACACCAGTGTTTGAATCATTATTTTCTTTCTTTCTTCCCACCATCTACCCAAGGAGAAAATAAACAAAGTCAAACTCTGCTGAGTGGTTGCGTTTTTGTATTGTAGTCTATGTTGTTCAGTTGTTTTTCACTCGTGTCAGACTGACTCTTCATGACTTTCATTTTTGTTGTTGTTGAGTCATTTTCAGTCATGTCCAACTCTTTGTGACCCCATTTGTGGCTTTCTTGGCAAAGATACTGGAGTGGTTTGCCATTTCCTTCTCCAGCTCATTTTACAGATGAAGAAACTGAGGCAAGGGGTTAAGTGACTTGCCCAGGGTTCACACAGCTACTGAGTGTCTTGAGGCCAGATGTGAACTCAGGAAGTCATCTTCCTGACCCAAGGCCCAGTGCTCTATTCACTGGGCTACCTAGCTTCCCCACCATAGAATTTAGAGTTGGAAAGAATTGGCAATGACTAAGTGAATGTACAAATCATTTTATTTTTATGTATCCTCCCCTTAGTAAATACCAGCCTTAGGTTCCTCACTTTTAAAGTAAAAGAGCTGCCCTAGTTGGCCTCTGAAATCTTTTCGGCTCTAAACCTATGATCATATAGGATGTGGTGAAATTTTATGATTCAGCTGGAGTAAATAAATACTCTAAGGCAGAATTTGAACTGAGGCCCTCAGTATTTTTTTTTAATAATTTATTTATTTTTAGTTTTCAACATTCATTTCCATAAGATTTTGAGTTTTAAATTTTTTTCCACCCTCTCTTCTCCCCACTCCCCAAGACGGCATGCAATCTGATGTAGGCTCTACATGTACATTCATATTAAACATTTTCACATTAGTCATGATGTAAAGAAGAATTAGAACTAATGGGCGGAACCATGAGAAAGAAGAAACAAAACAACAGAAGAAAAGGAGAGAGCAAATAGTATGCTTTCATCTGCATTCAGACTCCAAAGTTTTTTCTCTGGATGTGGATAGCATTTTCCATCATGAGTCTTTTGGAGTTGTCTTAGATCCTTGCATTGCTGAGAAGAGCTAAGTCTATCAAAGTCAGTCATTGTACAACGTGGCTGTTACCGTGTACAGTGTTCTTTTGGTTCTGCTTATTTCACTCAGCATCGGTTCATATAAGTCTTTCCAGGTTTTTCTGAAGTCTGCCTGTTCATCATTTATTAGTATTCTTTCTTTTTTTTTTTAAAATTTGATTTGATTTAATTTTTTTATTAATTTATTTTTAGTTTTCAACAATCACTTCCATATACTTTTGAGTTTAAATTTTTCTCCCCCTCTCTCCCTACCTCTCTCCCCAAGACAGCATGCAATCTGATAAAGTCTCTACATATACATTCCTGTTAAACGTATTTTCAAATTAGTCATGTTTTAAGGAAGAATTAGAACCAATAGGAGGAACCACAAGAAAGAGGAAACAAAACAAAACAGAAGGAAAAAAAAGAGCAGATTACCTGAGGTGGAGCTACATTTTTTGAAAGAGGAGGTAGTATTTGTTTACCCCTTGGTGAGGCTATCATCCAGATATTTAAATATTCTCAGAGCCTAGTGTCTACCAGAGAACAAAGAGGTGGGAGACAGTATTTGCTGAAAAACCTGAGAGAGATCATTTCCTGGAGCACCTTAGAAAAAAAAGGATCTGGGATTCTTCAGAAAGAGCCACAGAGATATTTCCTGTCCTGCTTATTTCCTTCATCTACCCTTCCCCCCACCCAGCTGATCCCAGAAAAACTTTTGTTATCCTGGTTTCTACAGCCCATCTGCTCCTTTCCCCCTGGCCTAACCTCCACACTTTTCTGTTACTTGCATGATATGAATACTTATGACCTTTGCCCAATTAGAACCATACTCACCCTTGTAAAAACCTACCATGGTAGAAATATCTCAAGGCACAGTCTTATTTTAGGTGGGTCTTACCATACTCTTTATAGGGAATATTCCTTCAAATTTACCTAAACATTTGCTCCTAGTTGATGGAATTCCACACATGTGTGTGTATGTGTGTGTGTGTGTATTTATGTATATATTTATGTGTATGTATATTGCAAGACAAGATTTCAAACAGGGACCTGAAACAGAACTAGTTTATCAGCCACTACAACATTGCTTTTAATGTGATACAAATTTATTTGTCAGGATACCCTACAAGTTGATGCCTAGTGAATTGAAAGATGAGTGGAAAAAAATGTTGTGGATTGTTAAATACATATGGAATGCTAGGAAGTGTCGATCAGTCCACAGCAGTTTCTGAGTTTCTACTAAATTAATGTAGATGAAGTATTAGGTACTTATTAGGAAAGGGAAAATTGAAACTGAAATCTCTCTGCCATTGAGAAACTTCCATGAACAGTAGACAGAATAAACTGGTGGTGTTGAAATCAGAAGTGGATTGGTTCATTTTGAGTCCAAACTGATATAAAGGTCTAAGAGAGAAATGTCAACGTATCAGAAAACATATGTACTTTTACATGTACAGTAAAGAACTTTTAGCAGTGTTCTGAAGTAAAAAACATAAATCTTACAGGTTTTGCAGGAGATAAAACTGAGGTTGAGCAACTTTAATTTAAGATCATTTTATTGGATCCTTTCCCTAGTTCAGTAGCTGTTTTTACTCTATAAAATATTCCATCCATATCCATTCTTACGTTCACTTTTGTGAAAATTATTTTCTTTATAGTAAATGAATGTAAATTTTTTTCTGACAAAAACACAAATTATTTTTTTGAATTGTTAAATTTCTTAATTAATTTTTAGTTTTCAACATTGACTTCCACAAGATTTTGAGTTCCAGATTTTCTCCCCATCTCTCCCTTTTCCCCCCACCCCAAGACAGTGTGCATTCTAAATCACAGGAACTATTTAGAAAGAAATTGATGACCCTGAGATTTTATGCAGTATATCAAAAGATGAGATGAAAATGATATGTCCTTTTTTCTTGGAATTTTGAAAAGGGATTTATGTATAATTGGCTTGGTTTCAGGGAGAAAAACTAAACCACCTCGACCAGATTCCCCAGCTACTACACCAAATATATCTTTGAAGAAGAAAAACAAAGATGGGAAGGGTAAGTACTACAAATTAGTTGTAATATGTACTCGTCAGACAGCACTCAGAATTGAAAAGCTTTTTGGAATAACAGAAGGAGTAAGTCCAACAGCTTTCCTGACATGCTGCCACATGCTTATGATAAGGTTGCCACTTTCTATCAAGGAATACAAAGCCAAAGAAATCCCTTATTTGTCTAACTTTCTCTGTTATCAGAATAATCTATTCTTCAGCCTACTGATGGGGCTCTTGGAAGAACTATTCAACGAATTGCATTTTCAAATTAGAGATGCTTTCCTGTAAATATCGTTGTTGGTACTACTTTCACAAATATCTTCACATCTGTCCATTTCTAACGTAGCAAATTGAAGATGAGGCAGATTGTTAAGGCAGGTCACCAGGCAGGTTATAACTGTAAGAGTAGCTTCCATAGTTTAAATGTAAATTTTGCAACAGTTGTTTTTTATGTTTTATGTAGGATACTTTTTCACATTAAAAATAAAAGTAAAGCCAGCAAATAAGGCTCTGTTCTGAGGTCATCACTCCAAGATTAATCTCTCAGAATCTTAAAATTCAACTGTAACTATATTGAATACTAAGCCAGTGTAACTGTTGAGTTACTAATGAAAGTCTAATGAAAAGTCATCACATGAATGTTACTTTCAAGTGCAATTTGGTAAACTTACAGATTTTTTTGAGCTGGATGAAGTCCATAAATTTCTTAGTCCAGTTCTGTATTTTAAACCACGAAGTGACATAACTCAAGTCAAGTGCCTAAGAAGTGTCAAACTGGGACCAGAATCCTAAACTGCTTTTCCTAGTCTAATTAAAAAAAAATGATGCCATTGTTGTCTATTGAAAGATTTTTTTGTTGTTGTTGTTGTTGTTGATGTTAGAGGGGAAAAAAAGGAAAAAATTAAAAAAAACCCCACAAAACCTTTGTTTCAGGAAATACAATTTATCTTTGGGAGTTCTTGTTAGCGCTTCTTCAGGACAAGACTACCTGTCCCAAATACATCAAGTGGACCCAGAGGGAAAAAGGAATTTTTAAACTAGTGGATTCTAAGGCTGTGTCTAAGTTATGGGGGAAACACAAAAACAAACCTGATATGAATTACGAAACTATGGGAAGAGCTCTCAGGTATGTTAAGTTTTAATAGTTTGTTGTACCTGTTTACTGATAGCTAAAAATGGATATGTTTCAGAATAATAAAGTATTAATGTAAGATGTTTAAGTATTAAAAGTAATATTGTAGAAAGCAACATATATTTAAATTGAAATATTAAGGTCTTTTTTCTGGGTGAAAGGAGGTGATGCTTTTATAATAATACTCTTATGTCCTATGAGATGGTACACTTAATCAGTTTTATGTCCTAGTCCTGTTCTCCTTTTTAAAAACAGGAAATATTGTGCAGAGAAATAAGTTGTGGTTGACATTTTGTTTGTATAGGGGTCAGAAAATTCTGAGCTGTGGTCCTCACAGGAATTATGAATCAACCACAGTGTTCTAAAATCTTGCACCATTAAGCCATATCAGCACAAAGGCAAAATGAAATAGCATATAGAGTAAGATGTGATTACTTAGGGGTAATTTGATTTTTAAATACAACATTTATATTACTGTATTCAAAGAAATGTGTTAGATGTGAAGTTTAATATTTTAGCTATCAAATAAGTTTTTAATCAAAATTATCATATTACTGCAGAAACTTACTTTTAGTTTCAGTGTTGATTCTATATTTGAAGGAGATAAAATGACAGTGGGTTGTAATATTATTTTTTAGCCTTTTAAAACTATATTAAAACTTACAATTTTAAAAAAATATTTAGTTCATCTGAAAAGTCTTGCATCACTTCTACTGGAGTTTTATAAATAACAGCATGTTAAATTAGTAAAATGAATCATGTCTTTTTTGAAACTCAGGTTTTTTGGATGTGAAAGAGATTTGATTATCTTTTAATAAGCTAATGACAAACATGATGAATCACACTGCTTGCTATATAGGTATATATTTATGAGTTAATGCCATTTACATAGGAAATACTTTTAAGCCTAAAAATGTCACATTTCTAGGTTTGCCTAACAATAGAATCTAGGCAATCCTGCTAATAACAGAGCCAAGGGAAAAGCCCAGAAAATCCTTATTTATCAGTATTTCTCATATTCCTTTTTGGCGTTTATGTTAGTTTCAGTTTCTTTCTATATGAATCCTTATGTTGTAGCTGTTAATCATAGTCAGGTTGACATTCTTGAGATTATCCTGTTGTTACCACAATCTTTTGAAACTTAATATAAGCTGTGAAATAGCAAAAAGGCAGGGCAACAAGGAGGTGGAGAGGTGTGAATCTAGAGATTGATATAATTTACATCCTGGATTCATTCTCTAAATCAGGAATCAATTTTAGGTTGGTAATCATTTCTGTGTGCATATAGCACATAGCAAAAAGGCAGGGCAACAAGGAGGTGGAGAGGTGTGAATCTAGAGATTGATATAATTTACATCCTGGATTCATTCTCTAAATCAGGAATCAATTTTAGGTTGGTAATCATTTCTGTGTGCATATAGACAGAGAAATAATGTCTTTGTAAGTATAAAAATGGCCTAATTAAAACCAGTGCTTCTGATATTTCCCAGAAAAGTTTTTTTTTTAAAAATGTGCTAAAGTTCTTATGGTATGAATAATATTTTTAATAACTTTTTATTCAACCAGACTTTTCTTTTTGTTGAAATAGGTACTATTACCAAAGGGGTATTTTGGCTAAAGTGGAAGGTCAGCGCTTGGTATATCAATTTAAGGAAATGCCAAAAGACCTTATTTACATAGATGATGAAGATCCAAGTTCCAGTCTAGAATCTTCAGATCCGTCATTGTTATCTTCAACAACCACTTCTAGTAGAAACCAACCCAGCAAATCCAGAGTGTCTTCAAATCCAGGGATAAAGGGAGGATCCACCACTGTTCTGAAACCAGGGAATTCTAAATCTGCAAAACCCAAAGAGCCTGGGGAAGCCACACAGACACACCTGTCTGGTCTGTCACCTGAGGTTGTGAGGACAGTTCAGTCATCACAGGCTCCACATCCTGTCCAGCTCTTTCGGACTGTTCACCTTATGCAGCCAATACAAGCTGTTCCGGAAGGTCAAGGAGCTGTAACCAGTAACATGCAAGATGAAACATTAAATTCTTCTCTGCAAAATATTAGGTAATAAATAGGTTACTTTATACTTAAGTAACTATTGAATAGTAGATTATTAGGCCTTATTTGTACATGTGTGGTGGGGTCTATATTGTGAAATAAAATTATGTGGACCTCAAGCCAGATTATAGAGGCCACAGATCTTCTTATCATTTTTAGGGCTAGCCTAAGTTGCATGGGGGTGAGAGGGAAGGGGGCAGGTTGGGCAGGTATTTAGGATCTTGTACCTACCACAAGTATCAATCTGGTATGATTACATGATTTTCATATTTTAGTTTATTGTTTTACCTGTTCTTCTTAATACAACTTAACATACCTGGATTAAACCAGACTAGGTATGATACAAATACATAAAAATCCATATACAAAGCTTAGGAGTTTTCCTTTGTATCAGATAGAACTGGTGAGGCTCAAGCAAAACAGGCATTCATAACCTTACAGGTGGCTAGGTGGCTCAGTGGATAGGGCACTGGGCCTGGAGTCAGGAAGGCCTTGAGTTCAAATACAGCCTCAGACCTGTAGCAGCTGTGTGACCCTGGGTAAGTGGCTTAACTTGGGCAGCTAGGTGGTCCAGTGGATAGTGCTCAGTCCTGGAGTCAGGAAGACTCATCTTCCTGAGTTCAGATAGCCTCAGACATTTACTAGCTGCATGGCCCTGGGCAAGTCACTTTACCCTGTTTGCCTCAGTTCTTCATCTGTTAAAATGAGGTGGAGATGGAAATGGCAAATTACCTCAGTATCTTTGCCGAGAAAATCCCAGATGGGGTCCTGAAGAGTTGGGCATGACCAAAAAAACCCTTAACAACAACATATCTTTATAAATTATTATTATTGAGAGCCCTTTCAATTTATATTTAATCCCAAGATAATATTCTTTTTTGGTGGAGAGATAACATCATAGCTTTGCTAAATGGTCCAGATAAACTAGATGATCATATAACTAGGGGCTGATAACTAGGGTTGCATAATATCCCATTCATTTAAAGAGGATCTTTTAATTATTCAGTAGGAGTTGAAAGAAAAAATTTTTTAAATATCTAAAAGATTTTCCTCCCTGTCCCAGATAAGATATGAACCAGCACAGTGGCAAAAAGTCCATTTCTGTTTGACCAATCTTTTGTATAAACAAGGGAAGCAGCACGACATTTCCTTATAGATTTGGGGAATGAAAAGAAGGGGAAAAGATAAGACAACTGGATCTTTTAGTGTGATTTTGTTATTTTGCTTGACCTGTTGTGTTTCCATAGCATCAACTGTCTTTGAGCCAAAGTGGAAAAAAAAATTGTGGATTATTTTACACTAGTTTGGTGATGAAAAAATTTCTTTAGATTCCCCCATTTGTGGGTTCCAGATCAGTTCAGTATATAAATTTTAGGTCTGTAGAATCAACATTTGATTTAAATTAATTTCAATTGTGGAATTGAGGGTGAATGACACTTTGAAGCTAGTGTGCAAATTTAACTTCATTTTGTGGTATTCTAAACCAGAGTATCAATGCAAGAATAAAATTTTTAAACTGATTTTAACAAAGATTTTTTGAGCAAGGATATGTTGTCTACATGATATAAGAATAAGCTGCTCGATTTTTGTGCTTTTATCCCTTATCCCTGACTTAATGCCTGCTACCTAGCTGACAGGTACTTAATAAGTGCTTATTTGATTGGCTGATTAAAAAGTGCCACTATATGATTAAAACATTGAAAGAAATTTCAACCTTATTATGAGTGATAAATTTTATACATTGGATGCTGGGAAACTAACTTAATTCTTTGACTTAGAAGGGAGAGAGGAAAGTCAGATTCTTTAGATTTTAGTTGGACAGGAATGAAAACTGTGTTACTTACGGAGTACTCATCTGTCCCTTATTCTTTTCAGGTTTGGAGGTTTTCTTTTCTTTTTTTTTAAAGGAGTTACTGGTTTTCTTGGCAATTGATTGAATGGTTAGTGAGTGTATGCTGTTCCCTCCTCTTCACCTCTAGGCATTCTGAACTTTTGGAAATGTTTGTGCTTCTTGGGGATACAATGGCCATGGCTAATCACTTGCTTTTCTGTTTCTTCAATTCTCTTTTTGAGCATAATAAAAATATTTCTTCTTAGACCTTGAGAATAAATCCTAGTTTTGAAAGAGATGATTATGTTGTAGAGTAGAGTATCACACTTACTATGATAGTAAAATTCGGTGCCAAAAGTTAAAATAACATAGTTGTCATATTGGGTCATACTCGGTCTGACAAACACTCCCTAGAATATCAACTCCAAATGTGAAGAATGTCCCCAAAATATTTTAGTTTCTCCAACTCATTATGGATTTCTCATCTATTAATTTACCTCATCTTATTTTAGAGATTATTTTTGATTTTAGCTTTTTAGGGTAATGAGTGCTAAATTTCCTGTTTACTTATGTGAAGCAGTATTTTCTTTTATGTACCTGAAATTTCCCTCTCAAGTTTTAGAGTTATTCTTCTAGTTCTAATAAATTGTATCTTGGTTTTCGTTTTCATTTTTTTTGTTTTTGGCTAGGCAGTAGGGTTAAGTGACTTGCCCAGGGTCACACAGCTAGTAAGTGTTATGTGTCTGAGGCGAGATTTCAACTCAGATCCTCCTAAATCCAGGGCCGGTGCTCTATCCACTGTGCCACCTAGTAGCTGCCCCCCAATGAATTGTATCTTGAAAACTGATTGATTTTGTCATTTGGATAGTTGTACATAATTCTATATACATATACCTATTGTATGTTGTATGTAGTTTCTGGATGTAGATTATTTACTAGATTAGAATGATTATTTTAAGAATATATATTAAACCGGGCAGCAGGGTGGCACAGTGGAATAGAGTACTGGCCCTGGATTCAGGAGGGCTTGAGTTCAGATGTGGCCTCAGACACATAACACTTACTAACTGTGTGACCCTGGGCAAGTCACTTAACCTCATTGCCTAGCTGAAACAAAAACCAAAACAAAATAAGAATATATATTACACAAAAAGGACTCTTTCCAGATTTCTAGTTATATAAAGTTAGAATACCTGCAGCCTGAACTTAAGTTACAGGAAATTATATTTAATGCAATATTAATTTCCTAAGGGTCATGACAGCTAGGTGGCTTTTTTTCCCATTGTTCTTTCTTTTAGCTGTAGAATTTAAGTTTTCAGAGGACAGCATTTGAACTATATTCCAGATGAAAATAAGTGTTGTTTGTTAACATTATTTTTACAAATTTTGATTACAAATGAGGATTAAGTTATTAATACTAGCAAGTTTGTTGCTTCTTCTTACTGAATTCTGGAATCATCCATTGATCTCCCTATTCTCCATCCATCTCAAAATGCTCAAATAGCTCATGTGAAAAGCCTAAGAGAACAAATGGAAGATGGTGATTATGAAGAACAGTAGCCAGAGGGGCAGCCCAGGAAGAGAAGGCTCTCCAATAGCTGTACTATCTCTTGGTTCATGTTGGTTGCCACCAACCTGGGGTTTCTCCTCCAGAGGCTGTCCTCGCCCTCACTGGTCTATACTTCTCCAGTGTTGTTGGTTTTTTCTTCCCACCATTTCCATTTGGTTCAGTATGCTCAGTCATTTCAAGTTTAGCAACTCTTTCACTACAACTAATGAAATCTCAGGATACCATCTATAGTTACATCTTAACTGGGACAATCTCAGCTATCTGAAATAGTCAACCAAGAAAGAATGGTGGGGATGGTAAAGTAGAAGAATAGAGTTGAAGAGAGCACCCAATTTTTAACCAGACCACTTAACATCATAGAGCCTCAGTTTCTATCTATAAAATAGGCATAATAATACCTGTACTACATTCCTTCCTAGGTTGTTGAGAAGAAGGAACATTGTAAACCCTCAGATTCTATGGAGATGAGGCTTTTGTTGACATTTTTAGTATTATTCTTGAGGATAAGGGATTATTAGGATTGTTATTTTTCTTCTTGCTCCCAGCTCTTATTGAGAGATTCCTGCACACATAGAGCTTAAAAGCTGATTGAAGTGAGGGAAAAAAGAAAATCCCTTTAATTAAAAAATTAAAAAGTACATATAATTAAAGCTCATAAATTTTAGTTATAGTATAGTCCTTTGAGATTTTACACTTTTTGCTTTTATTTTATACTTTTACACAGTTCCAGAAGCATTGGTTTTGGTTTTTGAACCCACAGAAGATGTGTAGTGAACTAAGAGGGAGGAGGTGTCTCTTGCAGAGGAGTCATTTGAGCTTTAGGAACCTGATAAAATAGTAGCAAAAAGTGACAGACAGCTCACAAATGTGGGTATCAGAACATTCTTAGAAAAGTAGATCCAAGAACTCTCATTACTGCTATCGGGACCGCTTAGTTTAGGGGCAGATGTTCTTATAAATAACAACAGCTGCTGGGGGTATAACTGTATCACAGCCCAGTACAATAACGGATGTCTAAAACTAGTCATTCCAGTTACGTGTATACTTTCTACAGTTAGCAATGTGCTAATTTTGTTATGTTTCTACCTAGAGACATTTGTACAGAGGCCAACACTTTGTTTTTTTTAATGATGTAAAGATAATTAGAAAAGGATGGAACAGTTAAAAGATGAAGGAGGAAAATCAAGAGAGAGAATAGCCTTATGCAAAACAGGGAAGGGGAATGTATCCAGAACCTGGGGATGGTCAGTAACGGTCAAGCTGCAGAGAAACTGAGAAGGATGAGGAATGAGAACAGGTCTATAGATTTGGAAATAATGATGTAATTAATGACTTGAGAAAGCAGTTCAAGTAGAAGCATTGTTAGGGAGCCATACTGTAAGAGATTTGAGAAGGATGTTGGCAGGTTAGGAAGAGCAATGGTTGAATATAGATTGCTTTTAAAAATGTTTTATGCATTTTTATAATTACTTTCATATAAATCATTCCCTGTAGGTTTCTCTTTTCTCCCCTCCTCACTCCCAACCTTAACTAGGAAGTGGACAAAATTCTCTACTTTGTGCACCACCACTTTTCAGAGTGTAGGAAAAAAATGTTCTCAGTCATTTGGAATGCACATTATTGTAGTTGATCTGAATTGTTTTGTAGTTTAGTCTTATCCTCATTTATTTGTAACTGTCATTAGTTATTGTGAGTATATTCTCCTAGGTTGTGTTTTTTTGTTGTTGTTTTTTCATACAAATCTCATTTCTGAGTTCCTTATATTGGCCATTGTTCAAGGCACAATGTTTTCTTATGTTCATATCCTATAATTTTTTAGCCATTCCCTAACTGTTGTTCAGTCATTTTTCAGTCCTGTCTGCCCCTTAGCCATTTGGATTTTTCTTGGCAGAGATACTGGAGTAGTTTGCCATTTCCTTCTCCAGCTCATTTTACAGACGAGGAAACTGAGGCAAACAGGGTTAAGTGACTTTGCTCAGGGTCATACAGCTAGTAAGTGTCTGAGGCCAGATTTGAATTTGGCAAGACTCTGGATCCGGCACTCTATCCACTGTACCACCTACCTGCCCCATTCTCTAATGGATAGGCATGAAATTTGTAAATTCTTACAACTGAGAAAAGAATTTCTATGAATATTTATTATAGTTTACTTTAGCAAGAAGTTTGGTAAGAGGGAACCTAAATATAGCATGGTAGCTTGATGGAATAGGAGAGTCAAAGGAAGGCTTTTACAAGACTGAGGAGATGTAAAGATTTTTGTGACCTAGAAGGAGCTAGTGCAGAAGTGATTTTCAAATACATGAAAGCTTTGTCATGTGGAAAGATAAATTAGGCTTGTTCTGCTTGGCCCAAGAGGTCAGGACTAGGATTAATGGTGGAAGTTATGGAGAGGTGATTCCATTCTATAAAAGTAAAATAGAGGATTTTGTAAGGAAAGGGAGTAACTTGTCACAGGAGGTCATTGAGCAGAGACTAGTTGACCACTTTTCAGGGGTGTTGTAGAAGACATAAATGATTTGGGTAAGGGTTTGACTAGATGAGCTTCTGTGGGTCCTTTCTGTCTCTGTTGAACAGAGTTGAGGCTGGGGCTGCTTAGGTGCAAGTTATCCCTCTTTCATCATATGTCATTTTAAGTCTGTTTCAGTATAACCTGTTTAGCAGTATTCTTTTTTATGTATCTCTCTTAAATTGCTGGCTCCAAATAATTTTTCTACATTGCATAAGAATAAGGCTTGTGACTTTGAGGATTCTACATTGCTTGCTTTTCTCTTGGTTTATTTTCCCCCTTTCTCCTCCTGCTTTGAGGGACACCAGATAAAATGCAAAGATGGTGGCACTGGACACTGCTTCTGGTGCATCTTTGAAGCCTCATTGTTGGAAGTTATAGGTGCAGCTCCTGGGTATGGATCTGACTTCTGGCTATTCTTTCCTCTCACCTAAGAAACTTCCCTTTCCCCAAGCTTTTTTTTTTAAGCCCATAGTTCTTGCCAATTGTTTTTTGAGTCCCTTCTGATAAATCAGTGTTTCAGTTGAACCACTGCAGACTTTGAGATATACTTTTTTGTCTCCTACTTTAACTTGTTATTCATTCCCCTTTCATTCTTCCTACATTTGTTCCTCTATATGTGTTTTCTTCATTCGAAAATAAATCCATGTCATAGAATCACATACTTAGAGCTGGAAAAGCCCCAAAAAGATTGAGTCCAGGCACTCTAAAGAGGTGCACAGAGAGATTTCAGAGGGCCTTTGAACTTGGATGGGTAAAAAAGTTACATCTTTATTTTCATTAACCTGTAACTGAAATTTAACATTTCTTTCCATTTAATTTAAATAAAAAAATTATTCTGATAACAGGGTCATAAGTTTCACTTGACTGCCAGAGGGGGTGTTCATGACACAAAAGAGTTAAGAACCCCAATCTATTCCATTCCCCCCTTTAAGCAGTAGAAGCTGAGGACCCCAGACTAATTTGCCCACTGTCACACACTAAGTGACAGAGCTGATATCTGACTGCACACTCACAACTTTCACTTTAACTAAAATAAATAGAACCCCTTAAAAATGTTTAGCGCAATAATGTAAATGAAATCTATCTTAATTACCCATAATAACGGACATAGAGTTGCTGTTAATACAAATCAAATACAGATTTTATTTGGTTTTCAATACATCAGATTTTCTTTGTTCATCTTCATAGGTTTATATTACAGATATGGAAATTTAGTACAGTGTCCCTTGGGGACAAAAAGACACCAAGAAGTGATTTGGAGAAAGTGTCCTGGAAACATACTGGCATTGAGGCAGCCAGTGGCCCAGTGGATAAATTGCCAGGCCTGGAGTTAGTAACATAGACGAGTTCAAATTCAGCCTTGGCTGTGTAACCTTGAGCAAATTACTTACCTTCTGTTTTCTCAGTTTCCTTATTTCTAAAATGGGCATAATGCATTTGCCTTCCAGGGTTGTTGTGAGGATCAATCAGATAATAATTGCAAAATCCTTAGCAAAGTACCTGGCACATAAAGAATGCTATATAAGTGTTTGTTAATTAACTATTACTGTTATTGTGAAGTAATAAGGGGAAGTCAGCTAGGGATTAGAAACTTGCTAAAATCATTTGCTACAGTGTAGCAAAGTACTATATTCCCTATGGATGTTCCTCTTCTTTTTCTGCTTTTATCAGATATAATAGCCAATACCTGTAATTTCTGAAAATTTGAAATTTACCCTATACCTACATATACAAAACTTGTAATCTTATTGATACAATCTATTTATTTGTAACAGTAGCTTAGCTGTTAGCTATTTGAATTAACAATCATATTACCTTCATAAAGTGGCTAATTTAGAATAACATGTCTCTACAGAATACTTATCTTTACATCCAACTTAATGATGTTTGGGAGGAACCCCGCTGAGTTTCAGATTCTCAGCTTTATCTGCTACATTTGTATCTTGCATTATAAAATGCCAAATTTTGATTCTCTACAGTTGATGTTCTTGTGAATAATAGTGTTACTGGTTATTTGGTAGTTAGTAAAGGCTTTTTGATCTACTGTATGAGTCTCTGGTGAGGATAGTAGAATTAAATATGTTTAATGTAATTGAAAAGCAAATCAAAGAATCCTGCCACAAAATGTGATCTTAAAGTTATGGTGACTAGTTGCTCTGGAGAGGGGAAGAAAAGAAAATAAGATTGGAGCAAGGGAGGAGAGAGCATTCCAGGGGATGGAGAGTAGCCATTGAAAAGGCCATAGAATGGCGATGATAGAGTATTTTTTGCAAGCAATAGTAAAGAGGCTGGTGATGTCACTGTATCAGATAGTACATGGTGGTTAGTAAGTTGTAAGAAGACTAGAAAGGTAGGAAGAGGCCATGCTGTGAAGGACTTTAAATTCCAAACAGTGGACTTTACATTTGCTCTGAGTAGTAATTGGAGTTTACTGAATTGGAGTGGGGTTGGGGAGGTGACTTGACAGCTGAGTGGAGAGTGGACTCTAGAGGGGAGAGACTTGAGGCTTTAATAGGATGAGGAGGAACTGCATCAGGGTGGTGGCTATGTGAGTGGAAAGAAAGATAACACAAAAGAAATTTAGGAATTATAAGGTGAAAAAATGTTTTTAATGAGAACAATCACTACTTAAGTTTTCTCAGGCTTTCTGTATTTTATACTCTTAATGGGTGTCTCCCCCAGCATTCATATGGGGGTGTGGGGCACACTGGTTATACAACTTATTCCTGCCAAAGAATGACATTTAAAAAGAATGTGCCTAGTGAGCATAATTTTTCATTTTAAAAGACATTAACTATATCTGGATATGTTTTCATTTTTCTTGCTTCTGTTCTGGGATTTCAACAGGGCTCTTCAGACTCCTACCCAAGTTCCTGTGGTGGTTTCTCCTGGGAATCAGCAGTTGCATACAGTCACACTCCAGACAGTGCCACTCACAACAGTCATAGCCAGCACAGATCCAGCATCAGGAACTGGGTCTCAGAAATTTATTTTACAAGCCATTCCATCATCACAGCCTATGACTGTCCTGAAAGAAAATGTCATGCTGCAGTCGCCAAAGCCAGGCTCTCCTCCTTCATCTATTGTTTTCAGTCCTGCCCATGTACAACAAGTTCTTACTAGCAACGTCCAGACCATTTGCAATGGGACAGTCAGTGTGACCTCATCTCCGTCTTTTAGTGGTACTACTCCTGTGGTGACCTTTTCCCCTCGAAATTCACAGTTGGTTGCTCACCCACCAGGCACAGTGATCACTTCAGTAATCAAAGCACAGGACACAAAAGAAACTGTTATACAAGAAATGATGAAAGAGGAGATGGAAATAACAGGATAGAAGACCTTGAACAAGCAGAGCAGAATATTGAGCTGCAGCCACAGCCCATTGTGGTGATGGTGTCAAGTTCCAATGGATTCCCACCCCAGGTGTCTGTGAAAAGTGAACAGTTGGAGCCCCATTCTTATTAATATACCAAACGAATTATGGATGATTTATTTTTTTAAATTACTGCAACATTTTTTTGGTTGTATATAAAGGATTTGATTCTGAAGCAAATAGAGAGCCCCATAATTTTGGCAATTATTAGTCATAACTTAGTTGTGCTTTCTGTTAAATGTTAAAAACAAAAAAAATGCTGCATCTGCTCCAAGGACATATTTTAGAATTAAAGCATGAAGGAACATGCATTTTATATTATGAAGGCTTTCTTTTGAGATGTTTGTCTCAATTGCTAGTTTTTTTTTTAATCTTTCTGATTCTATCTATTCTATGATAGCTTTTCTGTTTCCTATGTAAATATGTTAGTTAAATTTAAGGCAACAGTGAGTTTATATAAAAACAATGTTCATTCCACTTGTATAAAGTTTAATGCTAGCAAATACCAAGTGACCTATCTTATGACGTATATTTTTAAGATTGCTTTCAGTTGCCCATCTGCTTCCCATTGGTAACATTGTGTGCCACAAAGAATTGGTGTGCAAAATGCAAAATGGAAAGAAAAAAAAAAGCTCAGTCTTGAATCTGGGCTGCTTTGCAAGTACTACCTGCAGGGGCAGCCCAGGATCATGCTGGAGTGGTTTAGTCTGGACTTTTACTCTGTGTGACTTTGGGCACATCAATTAATTGTTCTGTGTTTGTTTCTTCATCTGGGGAATTAGGTCATCTTTAAGGTACTAGCCAGTTGTCATGATATAATTTCCACACTGCCATAGGAGAAAAAAATTGCTATTATCTGTTAACATTTTATCAAGTTGAGCTTTAGCTCTAAAATATTCAGATTTCAATATTCTCATACTAAGCATTTTTATTATACCATTTAAAACATCAAGCTTATTGTAAATAAATTATACCTGAGGAAGAAACCAATGTAGTAGTTCTTGATCAGCATTTTTTTTTTTGCCAAATATACATGTGTTCTACCTAGATACTTTGGAGATTCATTAACTCCTTAGACTACTGAGTGGCATTTAGTAAATGATGGCCATGATTTACTAAATGATATACACTAGTGGTCTGAATAAGCAGGGGGGGATTTCCTTTCCTAAGTGCCTACTTAATTTTATTGAAAAGTTTTAGCCTTGGGCCAATCTGGCTCACTTGTCAATAGCTTATAAAAATTTAACTTTTCTGTTCCTGATCTTTATGTAATGGAGATGGGGGGGTAGGGGTGGGAATTGTATAACACACACACACAACACACACACATATATATATATATACACACATACATGCACACATACATACACACATAAATGCATACATATCCAGGCTTTTGAAAATGGAGTTTTAGTAGAATACTTTTTCAGCTGTAAATATTGTACATTTTTAATTTCACAAGAAAAGTTTTCAGCAAATTTATTTCCTAGTATAGAGATTTTTATAGATGAAAAATCATTTAGAGGTCTAATGTTATATGTATTCATATTATTACAGAGTGAATTTGTATTTAAAGACAAATTTAAAAATTTTGAAATTCCTAAATCTTTTGTATTTTAATTGGTTTATTACTGAATAAATCATGTGAAAAGTTCAAGTATTCTTTTTCTTGTTTGTTTTTAGGGAAGGATATTTATTTTTTAAAATTGTACATTGAGACAGTTTCCAATGTAAAATTTATACACAGAAAGCTATTAAGCACAATATTTTGTTAATATCCCAAATAAAAAAGATTACATCTCATACAGCAGATTACATTCTAGATAGTGAAAAACAATTGTCTTTTATAATGATGCAAAAATACCTAACAGTAAGTAGTTTGCTCTTTAGGGCTGTCTCTTTGTTTGCCAGTCTTACAAACTGTCTCCTTCATTATTTCAATCAGCAAAATAGTATTCCATCACATTCATAATTTTTTAAAGCCATTTCCCAACTGGACATCCTCTCGGATTCCAAATCTTGAGCATTAGTGTTAAAATGTTGATTTTTTTTCCTGCTTAATGGTTTTATCTTTTTATGTCAGAATTGTCTAACACTGCGCTAAAAATCAAGCATGTTAAAGGATTAATAGAACCAAAAGAGATTTACTAAAGGATTGCTTTGATAGACAACCTGAGCATGCTGTGTCAAAATACCTAGGAATTACATAGGTCTTTTAAGAATAATTCTTGTACGGGTCCTGCCTTCCAGTGGCAAAATCGGGATGATAAAATTGTGCACTAGTGCTGTAAGCAAAGGAACTAGAGATCATCTTTTTGCTCCTTTACCAGATGGGCAAACAGGGCTAAAGAAAGTAAAATCTCTTCTGGGATTCAAACTCCAAATCCAGTGTTAAAACTGACCAAACAGGAAAAATGATATGTTGATGTACTTCCTCGTTTAGGTTTCCTTCTGAACCCGCCATTCAGGGATAGTTCGGGTGACCTTAAAAGGCTGCATGTTCAACTTAAAACAGTTAGTGATGCTTGTTTTCACAGTATGTCTCCAAAAGTTTCTGGGCAATTTTAATAAAGTGTACTCCAAACTGCCTTATTAATTTTACGCAATTAAAGATTAAACTCACGTAGATTTTGGAGACCCCCCTGTACTTCCGAGCGACCTGCAAAAGGAGCGTGTGCCCACAGTGGGGGACGGGGAGAGAGAAGTGGGACCTAGTTTTAAATAGCCCCCCGGAGCTCGACCCTTCGCCACCCTCCTGGTACTCCGAGCCATCTTAGGAACATCGACTCTCAGCGCAAAGGGGTCCTAAAGCGCGACCCCCCCCCCTTTAGGATGAAGCCCAGGAGACCTTAGTTAGCCAGGGAAGAAACAGAAACGGGCCTCGAGCCGAAGTTTTCTGCCTTCCAAGGTAGGGGGCTTTCCACGCAAGGCTCGGATCGCTTTCCCCTGCTCCTTTACTTTTTTTTTTCCTTTCCCCCCCATTAAAATTCGAGGGAACGATTATTTATGGCTCCGACGTCTCTGGGAAGTGGGAGACAGCACGAGCTCGCGGTAAGAAACGGAAGCTGGACCTCTGACCTTGGTCGAAAGCTGGGAGGAAAAAGGAACCTAGAAGGAACCGGAAGCACCGTGCTCAATACCCGGAAGTCAAAGCTCCCACTGAGTGTCTCTCTGTAGCTCTCGGGCCTCTTTTCCCGAGAAAACACGAGATCGTGGAATGGTGACGTAACGCGCCAGGAGGTGTCCCAGCGCGCTCTGTGCGCCGTGACGTGGGAGTGGCGGCTGTGAGGTCGGAAGTTGCATGTGTTGAGCTCAGTGCTGTATTTCACTAGGGAAACGAGCTCCCAGCGCTTGCTGTGTGTCGGACGGCCATTATGCCTGTCAGTCTGTCTATCAGCCTGTCTGCCAGCTTGCCTGCTTGTGTGTCTCTAGGCTGCCTCTTTCTGCCAAGCTTGCCAGCTTGTTGGCCAGTGTGCTTACTTGTCTGTCTACCAGCCTACCCATCTAGCCTATGTATCCTCTATCTTCCTCTCTTCCCTTATTAGCTGTTTGTGTGACCATAGGCATATCTCTTAACCCATGTGAGCTTCAGTTTCTTCATCTGTAAAATGGGAGTCATAAAAGCACCTACCTTACAGGCTTGTTGTGAGGTTCTAATGAGATATTATTTGTAAAGCACCTGGCGCAGAGGAGCCACAAAATAAATGCTCTTCGTCTTTCCACAACCAGTCGTCAAAGCCTCAAATCCATCTGCTCCACGTCTATCTGTTAGGATTATCATCTCCCTTCAAGTCTGAGCTTGAATCTTCTTTGATAAAAGGCCAGTCAACTGGCATTTATACTTCCCCTGCAAGTGTGTACTCACTCTTCTCTCCCAAACATTCGTTTGTGCATATTTTACATTCACTCATGTGTATGTTATGTCCTCTAATAAACAGGCAACGACTACAAAGTTTGGCGCATAGTAGGCTTTTAACATCTACTGATTAATTTGTTTTGCCCTGAATCACCCAGCTATAAATGTCAAAAGTGGAATATGGACCTACGTCTTCCCGGCTCCAAGCCCACACTCTTTACAGTTGACCATTCGTTGTTCTTACAGGTACAATAAAATACCATCACAATTTATTCAGTCTTTCCCCCATTTATTAGGAACTGAATTTGTTTCCAGTTTTTTTTGCCAGCATGGAAAGCATTGCTACAAATATTTTAGTGCATTTTTTCCTGTTTGACCTCCTTGAGTACTGGAATCAAAGGATATGTGTAGTTTCTCCCCTATTTAAGCATCAGTTCAAATAAGTTACCTTGATTGAGCCAATTCACAGCTGCAACAAGCTTGTATTACCATGCCTGTTCGGCCTTCCCGGTCCCCTCTCTACCCCTCCCCCCCAACTCTCTAATATTTACAGTTTCTGCCCCCTTTGTGTCAGGCGAAACCTTGGAGTTTTAATTTTAAATTCTCCGCCCAACTAGTAATAATTTGGAATATTTTTCATATGATTATTTATTCTGGCGACGGTTTATAGCCTTTGACCTCTGACCTATGGGAGGAGCAGACCAAACTGGTATATTCCTAACAGTTCGAGGAGGGACTTTCCGAAAATCCCGGCGGAGGGGGTGGGGTGGGAGCTAGACTGAGGTGGGGCAGGGAAGGGGTGGTGCTAAGAGCGAGGCGGGACTGGCGTCGCCGAGCGAAGGAAGCAAGAGCGCGTGTAGCGCCGTGGGTTGCCTTAGTAACACGGCGGGAGGCGGGACTCTAGCGATGCCGGCCGTCCTCCGGGTTCCCGTCAGCCCTCGCGCCCTCTCCTCTAGTCCGCTCTTCCCCTCACGCTAGCTCTTCTCACTGGCTCCTCTGGACGGAAGCTCGCTGGGTGTTTCTCCAGAAGTTTCCCCCCTGGGCGGCGGCAGAGACAGCGCGAAGTATGGCGGCGGCAGGACCTGCATCGGCTTCGGGGTGAGTGGCTCCAGCCCCCGGGGGTTCTGGACCCCTTCCCCAGTTCTGCCCTTTTTTCCCCGTGCTCCCCACTGTGATAACCGTCGCTGACGTGATTGTCTCCCCGGCAGGTTGTTCCCACCCCTGTCGGACGGGCAGATCGACGAGGACCCCAAGGCGGCCGCCGAGGTGAGAGAAGCTGGGGTGACAGGCTGACCGGGTCCTCGCCGTCCCCTGACCCCCTCCCAGCCCCTCCGCATCTCCCCCGCCCCTCCCCCGGGGGGCTTCAGACCCGCCCCCCACTCCGCTGACAGGTGTCAAGAGAAAGTCATCTCCCCGCAGCGGACCAGGAAAACGAGCCGTCGCGGACTTGGGGGGGGGCCCGCCCAGCCCCGCCCCGCCCCCTCGCCCCTAGCCCCCAGCCCCCAGCCCCTAGCCCCTAGCCCATGGCATAGGGCGAATGCTTAATCAATAACCTGTTGTCTGGTCACTTGTGTTATGTGCAGGACGCCAGGGTTTAAAGGGGGAGGCCACTTCTCTTACCCCACCTTAGGCTTTGGAAACCAGAAATTGTACCTTGTCTTACCTCATCCGTTTTTAAAGAATCACTTCTCAACAACTACCTGAAATTAAGGTGGGGGAAAACAGTTAAGCAGAACCCCCTGTTGACAGTACAGCCACTTTTTACTTTTGTGGTGAAAATAACTTATAAGTAGAATTTTCTGCTAAGTGTCTTGATGTGGGCAAGTCGTGGGTTGGTGTGGTTTTGAGTGAGGGAGGAATATTAATTCATTGACTATTATTAAGTGTGCACTCTGCAAATCATTGATGAGATTGAGAGAGTTTCACATTTCTCTGCCTCCCCCCCTCCCCCACCCCATGGAGCTTACGGTTGTTCAGGGGGATAAGAAACATAAATAAACAAGATAATGTAGTGAAAGGATCCAAACGTGGAATCAGGAGACCTGGGTTCAGACTCCTATTTTTTAGCTATTTGGACATATGTAAATCACTTAACATTTCTGAGCCATTTTCTTCCTTTGTAAAATTTGT